ATAAATTACTCACCCTCAAGTCATCCTAGGTGTATATGACTTTCTTCTTTCAGACAAATCCAGTCGGAGTTATATTAAAAATTGTCTTTCATCTTTCAAGCTCTATCGTTGTACTCAGCGGGTGTTGCATTCCTTCGGTTCAAAAGACGTGAAATAAAAAGCACCCTTCCACAAAAAAAAGTGTCTCACACGGCTCCGGGGGATGAACAAAGGCCTTCTGGAGCAAATTGATGCGTTTTTGTAAGAAAAATAACCATATTCAAAACGTAATAATCACTTGAATGTAGCTTGCGCCAACAGTTACACACAGAAGCAGTTCCGGGGGAATGACGTATGAGGTCAGCGCTGCGCATACGCCTCTGAAAGAAGAAAGTCATATACACCTAGGATGCTTCGGGGGTGAGTGAAACGCAGCCTATTTTCAATTTTGACTGAACTAACCCTTTAAGTATTAAGAAAGTCAGTAAATAAATGAGTGAAAATTTCATATGTAGAAACCAAAGCTAGTTTGTCAAAAGGGCTGTATCTCAGTAATACACAAATGATTGTGTTTTTTTTTTTAGTTTCTATATGCTGGTTTCAGGAGTTCAATATTTTTTTTTCAATTAGGACTAAATATAATTAAATTAGGACTTTTTTTAAAATTACGACATTTCCACAGTTTTTTCACAATTTTTCATAAAAAAACATTATAACACTATACTTTGTGCTAATTCAATTACCATGGTATTAAATCACAAAACTTAGTAAACACTTGATGACTGCAGCTTCTGTGAACCCCAGAAAAGTGAAAAAGGGCCCACTGTCACGGATTTATAAAAGCTTATGTCTTGAGCAAAGAAGGGAACACAATAATACTGGGATACAAGTGTCAACAATAATGAAAGTGGCTTTGAACAACTGAACTGTGTCTTTCATGTGTAGATGAAAAAATATGGTTTGTAAATCTTCCTTCTTCACTTTCTTGCCAAATCTGCACTGTCGTTTCTAATACAAGCATTAAAAAAAATACAAGTTACTTACTTTTTCACGGTTTCATGATTTTGTGCTTCATAATTAAAATACTGTTTCAATGCATCTGAAAAGACATTACATGGACTATAACATTTAATTACAGGCTCCCGATGTGGCAACTTACAACAAACAGTGACAAATCAGACAGTGTGTTAACAAAGGTTCAACGTGTTTTAAACAAACTGTCTTTTTCCCCCCCTAAGGCTGGAAATGTATAATAAAAAAAAACATTTTCTAGGCAAGACTATGTCTAGGTATATGCATATAGGCCTACAGAAATTGATGACTTGACCTGAAAATTGTGAAAACTAGGACAATTATAACATTAAGAGGTGTTTAATTGTCTTTTGGCACGGGTATGCATGAAGCAATTGAAAATGTTAAAAAAAATACTGCCATGGTTCACCCCTAAGAATTTGTCCCAGGTCATGTGAATTTTGGTGATGGCGTTGCCCTTAGTCCTTACTAGTTTAACAATAAATATCTTCTCATAGAATGCAGACAAGGATCTGAATGAATTACTTGCTCTATTGCGTCAGCTGGCACAGGTTTTAAAGGGGTCATATGATGCGATTTCAAGTTTTCCTTTCTCTTTGGAGTGTTACAAGCTGATTGTACATAGATAAGATCCATGAAGTTGCAAAGACTAAAGTCTCAAAACCAAAGAGATATTCTTTATCAAAGTTAAGACTCTGCAACGCCCCCCTAAAACGGCTCGTTCTAACACGCCCTCACATATCTACCTCACTATGTGGAAATATTTGCATAATGCCGCCCAAATGTTCACGCAAAGAAAGAAGGCGTGGTTTCAGTAACCGCAGTTAGTGTTGAAGCAGCCATGTCAGGGAGACGCTGTGTGTTTCTAGGCGAAAGCAAAAGCACTTTATTTGGCCTTCCGAAAGTAGATGCATTTAGGAATCTTTAAGATTACTTACAACAGAATAGCAATGCATTTTATGGACGACCGTTTCGTGAACCTAGGAGAGGAGGTATTTGTAGAAAACGAAGCGTTTGAGAGAGGCGGGGCATAGAGGACCTACAATAATGTACAGTATTTGAAAAATAATGTGTTTTTTAAACATTAAAGCATGTCAACATATTCTGTTACACCAAATACACAAAATAATTATCTTTAAAAAAGCATCATATGACCCCTTTAAAAGGCTCAACTGGCCAGATTTGGTTATGAAAGAAGTAAAAGATTGTTCAGTGACCATTTAACTCTCTCATGACGAAGAAACGGTGTCACTGTTACATAACAACTACAGGAATGGAGTGAATAATCTTAATAATGTATAACTTTTGTCGTGCAAGATTATTTATTTTTAACAGTCTAACTAAACATGGTTTATGCGCAAAAACTACAACTCCCATAAGTATGCGGATGTTACCCATGAGCGCTTGCTGCAGTCTTGCCGCATATTCCGGTGTCCTTTGCTTCTTCCTGTTCATTACGCACTCGATTTCATAGCATCAAAATGTCTGGACTTCTGCGGGGAAGCGCTCGGATCCGCAGGGTTCTGCGGGGATCAACCATCACCCAGCGAGCCAACATCGCTACGCGCCCTGCCAAGGATAAGTTTGGGCCCACTGTGAGTATCCGTAGAGGGCTAGTTGTTCACTCGGCAGCTCGTGAAGGGCAGGCCATGATCTCCTTGGCATTCACCTTTAGACTCACTGTGATGATCGGAAACAGAGTCATAAAATTCAGTTTAGTTTGAGTTTAGCTCTAATCCAGGTGTTGATTATGAATAGATCATATCTGTACTTCCGCATTAGTTTTGGACTGATGGGGTTTGGGGTTGAAACGGTAACGTTACCTAAAATCTTCTCGGCCGATCGCGGTTGTACGGTCGTGGTTTTTATATCTAATATAAGTTATTTTCCTTTAAAGAGTAACTAAAAAGTAATGTAACACTCGTCTTAAAGGTAATTTTGTTTATATTTCGTGCTATTTAAGAAACCGCGGCCATCGCAGATCAGCTTCCGCTAAGAAAAATAGTGCATTATATAACAACTGCTGTCAATAAGACAATACTGCAACAAGTTATGTATATAGTAGTATTACTCAAATCCAATTTAAAATGTATTTTTATATATTAATATTTTTCTAAATGCAGATGTTTCTGCTCAACGTGCCTAAATGAATACCTTAGATCTCGAGGGTATTTTTTTTATTACAGTTTGTTGTCTCAGTAGCCGTTTTAAGTCGCAAGATGGCACCAATTAGCTTGCATTTATATCAGAAGATAGAGACTGCGGAGTGATAGCAGAGATAATAAAATAGTACCTTTATGTTGCCATGAACCGTAAAATAAACCGAAAGCTCTACTAACAGCTCTTTGGTTCTTGTGTCTGTTTTCACAGGAGACAATAATTGGTCTGACCGTATTTTCTTTTACCATCCTGGGACCATCTGGGTGGGTTCTGGCCAACCTGGAAAACTACAAAAAGAAGGGCACTGCTGAGTCGGAGTGATCCACCGGTCATGGACTGAAAGCAGTTTGTCTGGTTTTATTGCTTTTAACACCTTGGGACCACCATCTCACAGACCTCCAGCTTACCTAAACAGCGGAACAGTTTCTCTCCTTTGAGCCACCCTGTTACCTCTCCATGCGACCGTTTACTTTCCTCCAAACACTTTGGTCTTTGTTACACTGAGGTGTTTGCTCCTTGTTACCAACTGTGTAATAACATGTAACCATGGGTGATTCAGTTCTCCTTAACTGGAGCGGTTACATTTGAAATAAAGTTATTTAAATCTTAAAATCTGCATCTCTCTGTTTTCCATTACTTTTTTGACAATACTGGAAAAAAGATATTGCTTTTCAGTAGCTTACATGAGGCAAGACACCAGTAACAAACTTGCATAGATGATTGATTTAAGTGTCATCTTAAAACAAAAATATAATAATAAACTAAAACAAATAAGTTACACCTATACTTCATTTTGAATATTTCTGGAAAAAAAAAGGCTAAATAGGGGTGTGTGTGTGTGTGTGTGTGTGTGTGTGTGAAATAATAGGTTGGCATTTTAAGGCCTTTTTAAATCTTGTAGTCTAGCAATTAAATGAGTTAACCCAATAACTCTGAAAGACTTGTACATAAAATATAAGATTAATGTTGATTAACATGTGTGAGGGAAATATTTTATATAATGGCCTCAGAAGGAGTCAAAATGGTATGTTCAATTTAGAACGTTCAGAAAAGTACATACTAAGGATGCTCAGATCAAAGACCATGCATCTATGATTAAAGAATATATACTTACCCAAAAAGCACTTAAAACAGTAGAACTAACAGTCATATGACAAACCAATGACCAGATGAGTATAACTAATTACAGTGAAGACTTGAGTGACATTGATTTTTACTCAACTATAAGGTATAAATATACATGTTCAGGGAGTCTCTCTTGGTTGTTGTGATCAGTGGGCTCCTGGCCATGAATAAACTTTTTATCCCTGGAAAGAGCAACTTGGGGGTTGTGTCTGGTATATGCTGCGCAGCTGAAGAATAGGAGTACTAAAGATTCTATGCTCAGAGGACCACAGCAGAGACAGTGCTAGTGTTGGAAAACTATAGACCCGCACTCGGGGTGAGGCTGTAATACTTGGAGTTAGTATTAATGATCCTGTGTCGGACCAGCGTATACCTGAGAAGGGCGGTGAGAGTGTATAGATGCTAAAGACCCGGTGCTCATGTGTGGTTTGAGGTAGTGATAGTAACTTCTTGACGGGATGCCATCACCACACTTCAGTGAGGGAAGTATTGGATTGTATTGAACTGGTACTGTAGTATTGTATTGCGTTATTGACAGCTGGAGGTTGTCTGTATTGTCCGCGGTAGAGAAGTCATTAGTTTTATATTAAGATGTATTCATATTGAGAATGTCCACGACACATGCTTAATCAAATGTTGCATATAGGTAGTTCTCAAAATAAGGTCACACAGATACAAGTCACTTATTTTTTTTTTTGTCTTGAAAAACATTTCAAATATTCAAGAAGCCCCATATTTGGTGGCTGTTTGCAATCATCCCTTACAAAAATTAACCCAGGTTTTACTACAAAAAAAATAAAATAAAACCAACCAACCATGGTTACTATAGTTAAACCACGGTAACCACAAATTAACCATGGTTTTGCTACACTAACCATAGTTTAACCATGGCATTTGTAGTAAAACTGTGGTTATACCAATGGTAATCAATTAGCCAAAAATCAATGGTTAATTTTCCTAAGGGATGGTCTGAACATTTTTAATTTCCTCCTTTTTTAACACACCTGATTCAGATCATTGGCTAATTTTGGAGAGAATCCCATTAACTGAACTGAGTGTCACATGGCATCATTATAAAACTTGACATTTTATTAAAATATATAACATTTTCACTATTATTTTCCATGCACACATTCAAATAAGTACACGGTACATATAACCATTTAGCCTTTATCTCGGAAACATTCAACATTATTTAATGGTATAATGTATGTATTTGAGTTTGATATAGTATTTGTGTTTAGTAAATTAATCATCTATGAGAGCTTGCCATCTGTGAAAAAAAAAGTTAGTAATTATGTCAAAATGTATACTTACCACCAGCTTTTATGGGAGAAAACCGAACTCAATTCAACCCATTCAGACAGGCAACCATTTTAACACATGTAAAACAATTGTACGATCGAGATATTCAGGTAAAGAATCTCAGCCGGAAGTGGGTTGATCTCCAGCGGTTCCAATCAATCAGGTGACCGGAAATGACTGTTCAGCAGGAACATGGCGGAGGAGCAACAGCAGATCTCTCAAAAAGAGACTGATGGTGAGAAGTACTTTACCCCAACTTTGCCAGAATCAGTGTATGTTTATATCGGTTTGCACATGCCGATGCTCTTTCGAGCTGTGTGAAGCGCATGAGCTGATTGGATGAGTAGCTAGCGCTTTGTTAACTTGCTAACAACAATAGCTGAGAGTCCATTGTTTATGTTTTAAAGCACTTGTTTCAGTGTCCAGATCGTAATAATATGCTATATACGGTCATTAGCGTTATATAAACATTTAATAAACGAAAATGCTCCGAAGTGTGACACATACGCGTTTAAAAAAAAACACTGCACTGTGAAACTAATGTAAAAATACCATTACACTCGTAGTAACATCAATAATAATGTTTAAGTTTGACCATGTTCAATTATGGTTTTTGCCAGTTTTCAAGTAACTGTCAAATTTTACACTTATTTGCGTTTGTTCTTTGACAGGGCTGAATTGTCTTGCACATGATGAAGCTATTATTGCACAGCAAGATAAAATTCAACAAGAGGTAACTGTTGAGTCATTCTCTCAATAATTAGTATTTTTGTAATGTTATGTGATGCTTTACACACACATTGGTCCTCTAGAATAAAAGATCTTACTGCAATGCACTCAACAAGTGATGTTTTTGCTTTGGTACAATTTCATGAAATGTATTAATATAAGCGTTGTTATAGTTTAACCCATCCTGAATGTCACCGTAGATATCGACCAGTATTCCTCTGGTGTCAGAAAGACAGGAACTTTCTGTCCTTAAGCGAGAGTATGCTGACGATGACACCATTTACCAGCAGAAGATAAGAGTAAGTGAACCATTACAATAGAGAATGAATGTTAATGGAATGTTATGCATAAATTATTATGCACTTATCTTTGTCTTTTATCTCCATTATCTAGTCACATACCATAGAGCTAAGAGAGCATTAGTTTATTTATGCACAAATATGTCCAAGCTTCCCCATCTCTGACTGTTCTTTATAACAATTTAAACTGTTTTGTCAACAGGACTTGCAGAAGAAGTACTCATCTATACGCAAAACACGGCCAGATGGGAACTGTTTCTACAGAGCCTTTGGTTTCTCACATCTGGAGTCTTTACTTGAAAACAGCAAAGAATTACATGGGTAACCACCTGCCAGCCTACGTTCAGCTGAAGTTAATGAACACTGTTTATTCCTTTGGTTGAATAAATGATTTCTACTCTACAAAACTGAATATTAAACATTAAATATGTTCTAAACGACACTGACTGTTTGACATCACACACTGTTTTCACTTTCAGTGTTGACAGACAAACTTCTTGTTGTGTCAAGCCTGTTAAGATCATTTATGTGAAAGTATGAGGAGAAGATAATGGTCTCAAGTAGCTTCTGTAACCTTTAGTACATTCCTCCAAGTCTCTGTTTGGTTATGTTCACTTGGCAGGTTCAAGGCTATAGCTGCCAAGAGTAAACTGGATCTTGTGAGCCAAGGTTTCACAGAATTCACCATTGAAGATTTTCACAACACAGTAAGTCTTTAGATGAGTGTGAACTAATATGTTTCTGGCATGTTTTACATTTGGCAACGATTCTTTTAACGCTTACTGATGCAGCGTGTAGCTTTTCATTTCAGAAGATGTACCCGTATCCATATTCCAGGATGACAATGACAAGATTCATTGGGCTCAAATTGTGAAATAGTGGTTCAGCGAGCATGAGGAATCATTTTCACACATGAATTGGTAACCATAGAGTCTTGGCCTTAACCCCACTGAAAGTCTTTGGGATGTGATGGAGTTAGCTTTAAAGAAGGGTTTGAGTCTCCCATCGTCAATACAAGATCTTGGCCAAAAATTAATGCAACTCTTGATGGAATTAATTGTTGTGATGTTGCATAATGTTGTTGAAACAATGCCACTACGAAAGCACATCCCAAAGACTTCAAATAGGGTTTAGGTCAGGACTCTGTGATGGCCAGTCTTTCACAACTTGAGCCTAATGAATTTTGTCATTGTCATCCTGGAATATTTACATGGGTACTTCTTCCGACATAGTTGTTGAAGTAATAAAAAGCTACACATTGCATCAATTAGGGTTGAAAGAATTGTTGCCAAACATACAACATGCTATATACAGCATGCTATATTAATCACTGCAATAAAGATTCAATCTTCAACTCTTTAGTATTTGCTTAATTAAATGTTTGGCCAGCCATTGTATATACTATTAGTATTTATTAATATTTCAAGTGAGTTTTTTTTTTTATATTTTAAGGTTTTATTTTAATTGTAGTTTAAGTGAGTCATTTAGTTGATTTTGACATTTTTATTATTTTACACACACACACACACACACACACACACACACACACATTTCTATTTAGCTTTAATTCAGTTTGTTTTATTCATTTTAGTACTTTAGTACTTGTGAAGACGTGTGTGACCAACAGAAGATCAATATGTTACAGCACGTCCTCTTAGCTGAATTAAAAGAACTTTAAAGCTGAAGGTTTTTTTTTAGCATCATTTCACTAAACTAAATTGTAATAGTTTTAGCTTACAACACTGGAAATCAAATCAGTCCTGCTACTTTGTGTTTTTACAATACATGAGTACAACATTTGAGGTCTCAAAACTCCTGTTTGCCTTATTCTTTCAGTAATAATCTTAAATGAGTTTCATGTATAATGAATTTCCTCTTGTCTTTTTCACTCCAGTTCATGGACTTGATTGAGACTTGTGATAAGCAAGTGTCTGTAGGTGAGCTACTCAGCTCCTTTAATGAGCAGAGCGTTTCCGATTATCTTGTCGTCTATCTGCGGCTGGTGACCTCTGGGTACCTGCAGAGAGAGGAAGACTTCTTCCAGCACTTCATAGAGGGTGGCCGCACCTTAGGGTAATCTATGCAATTTTATTGTTAATTTATTACTATTTTTATTATTTTACACACACACACACACACACACACACACACACACACATTTCTATTTAGCTTTAATTCAGTTTGTTTTATTCATTTTAGTACTTTAGTACTTGTGAAGACGTGTGTGACCAACAGAAGATCAATATGTTACAGCACGTCCTCTTAGCTGAATTAAAAGAACTTTAAAGCTGAAGGTTTTTTTTTAGCATCATTTCACTAAACTAAATTGTAATAGTTTTAGCTTACAACACTGGAAATCAAATCAGTCCTGCTACTTTGTGTTTTTACAATACATGAGTACAACATTTGAGGTCTCAAAACTCCTGTTTGCCTTATTCTTTCAGTAATAATCTTAAATGAGTTTCATGTATAATGAATTTCCTCTTGTCTTGTTCACTCCAGTTCATGGACTTGATTGAGACTTGTGATAAGCAAGTGTCTGTAGGTGAGCTACTCAGCTCCTTTAATGAGCAGAGCGTTTCCGATTATCTTGTCGTCTATCTGCGGCTGGTGACCTCTGGGTACCTGCAGAGAGAGGAAGACTTCTTCCAGCACTTCATAGAGGGTGGCCGCACCGTTCGAGAGTTTTGCCAACAGGTGACACTGAACAACACGTCCTTTCTGACTTGTGTCTCTTTGTTGCAATTTTGAAGATGTGATTTAATTTTCATCCAGTTCTTGTAGAGTAACCTGGTCTTCAATGACTTTGCAACATTTTAAACCAGCATGTCATTCTGTTTTGGCCAGGAGGTGGAGCCCATGTCCAAAGAGAGTGACCACATTCACATTATAGCTCTGGCTCAGGCTTTAAATGTGTGCATCCAGGTGGAGTACATGGATCGAGGAGAGGGAGGAACAGTCAATCACCACATATTCCCTGAAGACGGAGAGCCCAAGATTTTCCTTCTCTACAGACCGGGCCACTATGACATACTGTACAATTAACAGATCTGCATCTAACGCTGCTAAGGCCTCGTCTGTTTCTGTGCTGTGGGTTTGACTCAACTCTAAACCTGTGAAATGTGAACACGAGAGTCCAGCACTCAACATTGCAATTTCCTGTCAAAACCCCCTCAAGACTCTTGGGGAATTTTGGAGATTTTGTTATAACAAGCACTGGACATTGTACAGTTTTCTTTGAATAACCTGTATCACTTTTTTTCAGTTGTATGTACAGTATATGGTTATTTCTTTTAGTTGTGTGTGTGTGTGTGTTTTTTTTTTTTTTTTTTGGCTTGTTGCTTGTAGTTGAAGACTGCCCGTCGTTTATGATAGGGATGGAATTGCTTTAACATGTTTGGCTGTATTTGACTTTCATGAGAATAAAAAGAACTTGCAGTAGTCATAGTTTGGATAGCCATGTTATTGTTTAATGTGTGTTTAAAAAAAATCCAAAATGGTCTTAATTAAAAAAAAAAAAAAGGTGTGTCCATGCTGCAAATTAAGTAGGAAATGCACTGACAAAAAACAGCATGGTTCCTCTCACAGAAGAGAGATGAAGGATCTTGCCCCATCACCTTTGGCCGGCAGCACTTCCACAGAATCACAGAATGAAGGAGGGATGAAGACGTTCGGGTCCTCGATTCCTTCCACTAGGTCAAAGAAGCTATGGAAAGAAGAAATGGGTTAACAAATCGTGTCTAACATATACACACACACGTATGTACAGATGCCCTATATTTAAGTATTAATGTTTAAAATGTTTACTCCGAGACTATTATATTAAGGTTACATTTGTCCAAAAAAAAACTTTTTTTTTTCATGCTTGAGGAAATCTTGTACAGCATTCATGAAGCACACATTTTGTTAAATTTATGTGCATGCTATTCTTGCATGAAGGCGGCCTTGATCAGAGGAAGAGGAAAGGCAATGTAAACATGTGTAATTGGTTAAGAGAGTCACCTTTGCATAATCTGTTCTTCTTCATCAGTATACTACAAATGTGGTTAGGTTAAGGACAAGA